TGCGTTGTCGGCTGTTGTCGCCGCTGGTCGCCGCTGGTCGGCTGCGGTGCTGTCTTAGTGCGTAATTTGCAGTAGATCTCGCTCCGTCAGAGGGTCTGGTGGTTGCGTTGTCGCCGGTTGACGCCACTTGGCGGCTGCGGCGCTGCGGCGCTGTCTTGTTGTAAATTGCAGTAGATCTCGCTCTCTTAGAGGGTCTGGTGGTTGAGTTGTCGCCGGTTGTCACCGCGTGGCGGCTAGTGGTCAGACATAGAGATTTCTGGAGAAAAGTAGTCAGACTTGTCTTCAAGAAACAGAGATTTCTAGAGAAAAGTGGTCAGAAGTAGAGATTTCTAGAGAAAAGTATTCAGATGTAGTGGTTTCAGATGTACTGCTTTGTGCTTTAGAAACTTAAGATTCGTAAAGATTCATATGTGGGGTTATCCGGTCCTTTAGTTTTCTTTTTTGTTGTTTTTCGACTGTTCATCAGTGGCCAGAAGCCCCATTGCGGTTGTTCAGAGTGCAAGATCCCGTTTGCACTGCACGGAGCCCTCCGCCCTTCAGGTCACTGCCGCCACGCCCAAGGCAGCGATGACCGGCGCCGCCGCGGTGGCGGCGGCGCAGCCGAAGGCGGCGCCCAAGGCGGCCGTGGTGGTGCCGCCGCCGTCCCGCGCCAAGGCGCTGGAAGAGGCGACGGAGCCCCTGGAGGAGGCGAACGCCGATGTGGCGGAGGCGAAAAAAGGAGGGCTGCGCCCGGGCGGCGCCTTTGACGGACTTTGGCTTGCGTGACGAAGTGCTGGGGTTTGCTGTTGTTGTGCACTTGGTTCGCCTTGCGAGGCCATTTCGGTTTAGGCCAGGCAAACGCATGCTCACAGCAAGAGTTTGGGAAGGGTCACGAGACATGTGGCCTCCTTTGTTTCCACACAACTTTAGGTTGCTTGAACACGGCAACCTGTCAGCACCAGTCACACTTTGAGGAATACTTTGAGGCAACTAAGCCCCAAGAACCAGCCCCAAGCAGTAGGTCCCTGCTTCAAGTCTTTTCCTCGAGCGATGACGGAACTGGAGGCGCATGCAGCATAAACTGCATAGAATGAAGTCGTCCGAGTCACCACTCTTCCCAAATCTGCCAGATGTTTGACTCAGACCTTGAAACCCAAAAGATCCAATTACCAACCCCGGACCCTGTCCGACCCTTGGCCTATCGCCTAAAAGCGCATGCCTAAAATGGCCGTCGCGGCAGTCGGCAGCACATGAGATTCTGTCTTGGACCTGTCAAGCTGTCTACTGTGCCCGCCCCATCCCTATATCACCACGCTGTGTGGCCGATGTCTCATTTGCGAGTAATTTTTCCGTGCAGCGCCCGGACAAAGACTTCAAGGATGTCAACGGCCAAGCGGCAAGCCTGAAGAAGTGGAAGGAAACATGGGAACGTGCACCATGATCAAGAGGTTTTGATTCCCTCTAAACAGCCATTGACAAGATACGCCAAAACAAAGAAATCCTCCATAGATACTTGTGCAGCTGTCAGAAGCGAGCACACATAGTGGAGGCGAAGGCCCGGCAAGGAAACCGAAGCGGGAGTTTGCAACCTTCATTGTATTGGGAACTTTGAGTTTTAAGTTTTTTGGAGGTAGCTAACTTTAGTTAGGGTACAGTGCTCTGATTATTTGACCAGGAAAGAAGCGAGGAAGTCTCAGCGCGAAGGTATGTGCGGTGGCACGCAAACTTCCTTTTGTGGTTTTGTGTGGGCTACCCACCCACAGAGTGCTCTGGTGCAAGCCACTAAGGCAACATCGAAGCAAGAAACTCTGTGGCTAAAGAACTTAGGCAAACTGAAGAAAGAACAGTTCGCACCAGTACTAATTACTTTGCGGAGCTGCAGAGTTTTGATACGACAATCCTAGGAGTAGGTCTTCCAGTAGGATCCATGTAATTAATTGCCCTACGCTTTTGACAAAGACAGTGACACACGCCCCAACCACCCAACCTTCGCGTGCAAGATGCTGTTGCGTAAGCTTGTTCACATTCGCCATCTTCGCGGAGACCCAAGACCCAGTTTGATTCCTCCAATGATTCAGATGGTGTGCAAAAAATGCCATGGAGAACGTCTCCTACGTGGCTGGAAGAGAGAAAACTCAGACTCCTTGTTGCGAAAAGTTGCCCAAACTTCTTCTCGCCACTTAGAAGAGGCCATGGGCCTTCTTTTGGTTTGCAGTTTGGATGAAAAAACAGGGCTCTAAAGAACATCACGATGCAGACAAAGCACTCGTTCCAACTAGCATGTTTTAGCATCATGGGCATTCCTGAGCGGTATGATTCCAAACCAAGAAGACAGGAGCAACAATTTGTCGATAACAGCACCGTGCTGTAGATTTCAACTCGCATTTCTTGCGATGATTTGTGAATGAGATAGGATCCTTCATGTGTGATGCTTTGGGACTGCCGCTAGATCGCACGTTGGGAGACTTGGAGTGCTCCTCATGGTTGGTAGATCCCACACATGGGAGTAGTGTGACCCTTTCTGCAGGTTTGCTGAGCTCAGTCTTTTTGTGCTGCGTTCCTGTGCTTCCACCAAGACGCTGGCGGCTGTAGCATACAATTGTCCAACGCTGGCGTCGACGCCGAGCCGCGCGTTTTTCTACGGCGCTTTCTCTCGACAATGCAGTTGCAGAAAAGTAAAAGCTCAGTGGCAGTGCTGCCGACTCAGTGGCAGTGCCGATGCTTGTGGCTGGCTCCACCGAGTGTGCGCGGCCCTTCAGATCCTTCAGCCGAGCGCCCGAGCGCGGCCCGTCTGAGAACCTGTGTGGACTTGCGGACTGGTTTGGTGGAGTTTCGAGCCTTTTGGACTGGTCCGCCCCGAAACATTCTACAAAGTGTCTTTTTTAGCTGAAGGCTCTGGACCTGTGCCCCGCATCGTTCCACCAGCAGGCAGCGATCGCGACGATCACATGGGTTGTTGGTTCTAATACAAATAAACATGGTTCAGTCTTCAGTCTTTTTGGGCACATCCCACTGCCAAGAATCAGGCTTCACAAGCTCTTCCACGCTGTGAACTCAATTGCCGGACCCCTGAGTAGGCTGCTGCTTGGGCAGGCGGCGCATTTCGTCTTTTCAAGCTCGTTAGATGAGATGATCAGCCACCAAGATCATCCCGTCACACCGGCTTGACCGGGCCAAGCCGCTGACCGTGGCGGCTGTCGCGCCGTCGGGTCTGACCATGCCGGACGAACGTGGGTGGTGCAACCAGCCTCCCTTTCCACCAGGGCTGGCAGGGCTGCTGCACCACCCGATGCTTTCCATGCTCTGATGCCTCACCAGACATTGACATCTGGCCAACCAAGTGCTCGCTGCTCGCGATTGTAGCGACCACATCCGCTGTTCCCGTGTTTTGACCTTCCAGCATCCGCTGCTGTCCCGTGCACTGGGCCAGGTCGTGGCTGCTTGGTTGCCCTTGCACCGGGAGACAAAACAGACAGTAGCGTCAGCACGCAGATGCACGTTCACTTCTATGGGCTGCATCACTGAACCTTGAGGCCAGACCACCATCCATACGCCATGTATCGGAGTGTCGCGCTTCGAGAACGAAACCAAGACACTGACGCGCTCTGACGCGCGACAACAAATTCACATTTCCTGGAGTCGGCAAAGGACTATCCTCGTTGAAGGAAACGTTTCACGTGGAACTGTGCCACTCCAGCTGCAAAACTATGCGGCACACAAACTCGCCAGTAAAGGACCAACAGTGTGTGCCCATAGCGCAGCCATGCAAACTCAGGAAAAATCAAAAGTGTTTGATGTTTATTGTTTATTTTTGTTTCTTTTTACGGAGGCGCTATCAAAGGAAACGTTCATTGCAGGTAAGTCACTCCCGCTTGCTTCCAACCGTGGGGATGAATTGAATGCATATCACATCCTTTACTGTTGCCGACAAACCACCTCGATGCCAAACGCAGCTCCATGTTGAGGTTGGGAGGACGAAACAAATTGTGTGAATTTTCCCTGTTTGAGGGACGTCGTATAGCCGAAATCTGTCCACGGTACATTCTGCTGCCATTTGGGTTCACAGGGCCCTTGAGCTGAGCGCCCTGTCGCACGCGTAGAAAAGCGCACTTGGACGGCGAAGCCGGGTGCACTTTCACAGGTTCGGGTTCCGTCCCACTGCATCCCGGAAATCCCGTAAAGCCGATCCAGGATTCGTTCAATTCGTGCCAGGACTTGCAACGGACTGTTCTTGAAGTTGCCCGTTGAGGCCGGACATCATGTCGGTCGCTGCTCATCTTGGGGCGACAGGTGGTTCGTACATCCACTATGGTGACGCTGCGCGTTACCGTAGTGGGAGTTTCGCACACGTCTTCGCACTCGCCAGTGCAAAGAGAACAGCCGAAGCAACCCAAGGCACCGCGGATGGTGAGAAGCCAGTTCACGAAGAACACACCACCAGCGCTTTCGACGATTGATTTACGAAAGCATGGGCTCACCACTCTGCCAGGGCAAAGGGCCACCGTGTCGCTGGCCTGCTTTGAATAACCCCTTAGTTTTGTCAGTGGCTCTTGGAAATACGAAACCTTCGTCGCCTGCAGCAGTTCCTCTAATCCCGCTTCGTTTGTTAGGGCTTCCAGTCAGAGGCTCCGTGCTAATAAGCAACCATGTCCATGAAGTCCCTCAGGGATGTTGTTCACAAATGCGCTTACATCCGGTCTCACGAGGCTTCTTCTTCCTCACCATGGTCCTCAGTGATCGCTCTCGTGGTGAACCGCTTTTGGAGGTGTCGCTCACTAAGAACTGTGCAGTGACGAAGGCGTTCAATGGATTTTGCAACGTCCTAGTTGAGCACTACGCAGTCGTCCACCTCCGTGAAGGAGGCCAGAAATGGTAACGCCGCACTTGAGGGAAAGGCAAAGGCTACCAGAGTTCCGGCCCAGATGAAGGCAAATCAACAGACCGTTGTGCTTGCGTATCATGCCCCACGGGGGCAAGACACGCAGGACCAACCACAACGATGAATGTGCCTGCTTTGGAGATGGTCATGACGAGGAGGAAGGGCCGGAGCAGGAGTTCGACGACCTGCATGATGAGAAAAAGCAATGGCTTTGAATGCCATATTGGACCTCGAAGAGGTCGACGGCCGACAGGCAGGTGAGGCTATTCAACTCCAGCTCGCTGCGTTCAATGCATTCGGCAAGGCCAAAGGCAAGGGCAAGGTTTTGGCAAGAAGGGCTTTAAAGGCATGGGCCAAGGCCAAGTCGTTCGTAGCCAGATGAGTATCGAGCAACGTCGTGCCAAACTTCATGAATTGAAGTCCAGGTCCAAGTGTTTTCGTTGTGAGAGCACTAATCATTGGGCATGTGAGCGGTTGAACAGTTTGTTGCCAGGTTCAAACCCCGATGTCCCCAACCAATCTAGGCTGTGAGAGTGGTTCATCTGACGATGAAGAGTTTGTGTAAATCACAAGTCCGCCATGATGGCCTTGCGTCCTGGGACGTCCGGCAGGGGTTCACGCCCCAATCTGTCGCAGGCACAGTACGCACAAACAATGCAACGTCGTTTGTTCAGGTATTTGTGTCAGACCCAACCACCACCCATTGTGCCCGGCAAAACAGGGTCGTAAATGGACGAGACAAAGCCAGTCTGGCGGTTCGGAATGTCGAAGTGATGAGGGCGCGCGCTTGCAGATAGTGGGCCGGGCGGGTGCTTTCCTCAACGGCGCTCTCGTTGCGGCGCTGTGCATATCTTCGGACTTGGTGGGCACTTTTCGTGGCAAGCGCGCAAGACACCTCGTGGCTTCG